GATTCAAAAAGTAAACATAATCTCGCAATAGGAGGAAAGGAAAAACAATGAAAATCAAGGAGGCCGTAAAGGCGTCCTACAATATTGTAGGAACGATGACGATACGGTCCTTATGGCTCATAAAAGAAGAAACACAACTACGTGATATATAAGGTACAGGACTTATAACAGAGATAACAATAGCGGTGATATAAAACGTGAAAACCAGGAAAAATAGAAAAAGTCATGCTCATAGTAATTAACACAGGGTGTCCGCAAAGTTGGGGTTTTCCTTTTCAGAAACAACTAACCTTGAAATAACAAAGGTAATGTGTAGTGAAACGAGGGCGACCAAGTAAAAAAAAAAATAAAGGAAAAAGTACTCACTCTCCAGTTGATGAGAAGGGCTAAGTACGTCTCTGCCCGAAATCATACCTCTCCAACAGAAAATGTAATCAGCTGATGCGCTACCGAGCAGACGCAGAAACCACATTGATTGTCTTACACTTAATGGCCCATCTTTTAACAAGGAAGGCAAAATGTTGCGTAAAAAGTGTAGGTATTGCATCCCGTCCAATCGATTTGGGAGAATGAATGGTCCAATCAGCATACCGTTCACCATGCCAGCCCAAACATTCACCGAAAGTGTTTGTTGAAAATGTGCCCGACGGACAGCGTGCGGATTTTCTACTGACCAAACATGAGTGTTGCGAAAGTTATTCACCCCATTACGCGTGAACGTAGATTCGTATGTCACCAATATGCACTTCAAAATGTCCGGATTATTGTCATGTTGATGCAACAACCACTCACAAAACCGCACTCTTGCTGGAAAATCGTCAGGTTGAAGGGCTTGTACACGTTGGACGTGAAACGGATACAGCCCCTCTTCACGCAGCGTTCGCCACACTTTAGTTTTTGATACTTGGACTTCTCTAGCCACGTCTCTAGTGCTTGTTGAGGGATTCTCGTCTACGCGATTACCTCTACACGCGTGACCGTAACCGTCGGTTGAAGGTTGCATACTGACCTGACACACTGACCCCGACCCAGTTCTGTCGTCGGGTTGAGCCAGTGACCTTGTACCAATCGGTGATGTCGCGGGTCGCGGCTACAGGACGGTATTCAGATATTTTTGATGTTGCAGAGCCCTTTGTCTCGGTTCCCTTAAGACATTGGTGTATATGGTACTAAGAAAAATTGCTCATCTTTTCAAGATCTATACGTCGTGTAAAAGAAAACCCCAACTTTGCGGACACCCTGTATTTTTAGCGCTAATGATCAGCAAATACACTCGTGTGAACTTGTATCTCCCGGCAAAATACTCGTTGCTTTATTATCTCCCAAAAGTATAAGCTACCTTCTGTTGCCAGCACATCAATCACTTACTCATAAAACTTCTCCGCATCTGTTTACGAGCTGACAGCACGAAGTTTTGTTACGAAAATATTCACCGCATAAGTGGTAGCCAAGGGGTGCCTCCCAGATTCCTACTACAGAGCAATAGATTTTTAAAAACAAGTTTTCAATTAGTTTTTAATAAGATGAACTGAAAATTCGAAAATAACTTGATTAAAAGTAATTAAACGGTAATGAAACTCTTTCGTCAAAAGTTTTCAAATAAATACGATCCCAAATGTCAAAACGTAACACACTTTTATTTAGAGATGAAGGAGCTTCGTTATAGTTTAAATATTTTCATATCGAAAAAAGTATTTTTTATTTTTTAGTTCATATTATTAACATCTCAAAACGCTTGTTTTTATAACAGTATTCTTTATTTTATTTATTTTTACTTTTTAGTATTCATGATTTCAAATATACTAAGTGACATATAAATCCGAACACCCAGTTTAAATGGTTTTATTTTAATAAAAGTTGGTGAATGTATTTATCTTACTGTAAATAACAAGTGAAAAAATGTTCAGCCTTATCAGTTGGACATTCCGGTTTTTATACTGCTTTTTTTTTAATTCACTAACGCTCTAAAAATGAATATTTCAGCCGCAGTAAAGAATCAACGTTGGCGGATTTTGGTTCTTGACATCCTTTACGATCGGTTACGATGCCTAGAGTACGGAGACCTGTACGATTTCGTCAACTTAGTGAGTTTGATAGGGGCCGTATAGTGGGACTTCGGGAAGCTGGACTTTCTTTTCGGGCAATTGCAGTTAGAGTGCAAAGAAGTGTAGACACAGTGGTTAGGTGTTGTCAGGCATGGCTTCGAGAAGGCCGTACGCAAAGAGCAAGAGGCACTGGACGCCGCCGTAGAACAACAGACCGTGAAGATCGCCGCCTAAGATTATTGGCCTTAAGGGACCGTTTCTCCACTACCAGGTCCATTGCAAATGAATGGTTTGCAGAACACGGAAGACCTATTGGCATGCGAAGTGTTTACCGACGAATGAGAAGTTTTGGCTTGTTTTCATACCGGCCACACTGGGTCCTCCCTTTAACTCGAGAACACCGACGTAATCGCCTTGAGTGGTGCAGACAACGGTCACTCTGGGATCAGGAATGGAACGGTATTGTCTTTAGTGACGAGTCTCGATTTTGTTTAGGCATGCACGATGGTCGTGCCAGGGTTAGAAGGCGACGTGGTGAAAGGAGGAATCCACAGTTTTTTGTTGAAAGACATGTTCATCACACTATTGGAGTTATGGTTTGGGGTGCTATAGCTTATGGTTCCAGGTCACCTTTAATCTTCATCAGAGGTAACATGAACGCGCAGCATTATATCCACGAAGTTCTAGAACCCCATCTTTTACCCTATCTTGACACCCTGGCAGATCCAACTTTCCAACAAGATAATGCCCGACCACATGTTGCAAGAGTCACAATAGACTTTTTTCAACATAATGATGTCACATTGTTACCATGGCCACCAAGATCTCCCGACTTGTCCCCAATTGAGCACGTGTGGGATATGATGGGTAGGAGATTGCTCAATTTGCAACGTCCTCCTCAGACTCTAGAAGCACTTCGAGAGGAGTTGGTGGTTGCCTGGAGTGAGATACCACAGGAGGGCATTGACCGCCTGATCAGAAGCATGCCTAGGCGCGTTGGAAATGGCTTTAAAGCAGTGCAATCATTTTGAAATTTTTATCATTTACTTATTATGTTTCACTAAGTACTTATACAAAATTTTATTAAAATAAAACCATTTAAACTGGGTGTTCGGATTTATATGTCACTTAGTATACTTCTTTGCCAATAGCATGGGAAGTAAAATAAATAAAAAAATTAATTTTATTTACATGGAAACAGCGCTTACAAAACACCCCACATAATTTGAAAAAACCTTCAGACAGAACCAACCAAGCATTGTTTGAAGAACGTGTATCAATGTATATAATCAGCCAGCTCGAGATTAATCTTATTCTGCAGATCAATCTCGTAAACGACAGTTAGATCCCTTGACAGAGGCGGCAATATTGCGATGATTGGAAAGCGGCAAAACTCGGCATCCCCAAGGTTGCTCCTTTGGGCATTTCGTCTCATTCGGTATTTATTACTTTCGATATCGACGCCAAGCGCCAACAATCAACTTTTTCACTTGAGTTGCTCCGTCTTAGCCATGTGTTTTTCCTTTCAAGAGACGCGTCGTCACTTTCTGCTCGATCCGGCTTTAAGCTGATTTTCAATTATGGCTGTTAATGCAGGATCTATGATGTCTTCCACTAATTCCAAATACATGTCACAGGTCAAATTTCCACGTAAGAAAAAAGGACCAAACATACCAGCCCAAACATTTAATTCTTGTGGCTGCCGTGTATGAACCTCATGATAAATTCTGGGATCAGAATCGGACCAATATCGGTTGTGACGATTTACTACGCCATTTAAGAAAAAGGAACATTCGTCGGAAAAGCAAGTGTTGAATAGAAAATGTTCATCGCTTATAATTCGTTCACTCATATCTTCACAAAATTGTAATCGCCGATTAAGATCGTCTTCATTAAGTTCTTGTACCAGGTGAATTTTATACGGATTAAAACTAAGGGCCATTAGAATCCGTTGGACAGTACGTCGACTAACACCACACACAGTCTCCAATTTGCAGGTACTTAACGTAGGATCTACATAAACTTGTCCTAAAACCCCCACTTCTATTGCTTCGTTCCTTATGGGATTTTCAATGTTGCGTTTTTTATTGGCGGCTGACCCAGTTTCCCGAAATTTAGCTACAAGTTCTAGAACATATTTTTGATGCACGTTAATGTTCTCATGTCGCTCATTAAATATTTCTGCTGTTTTATTAGCGCACTGATTATTTCCGAAAAATATTTCGATAATTTCAACTCTTTCTGCGGTGGAATATACCATGGTTAATTTATGTAATAAAGCGTTACAAGTTATTCTAGCAACAAAGTTTGGTCAAATCAATCGCAAACTATGTACTAAATTCCTATTTAAAATAAGTACCAGGTATTTCCTTATCTTTCTTCAATAAATAAGTTTTTTGCCACAAAAAACGCTCCAATAGCTATTTTCAACAACAAAGTGATAAACAAACCATGGCCGTAGTGAAGAAAACCATTTACTTATTTATTAAGTAAATTCTTATAGTCAAATTTCTTCTGAAAGTAGTACAAACTAATCTGATGTACCTATTAAAGTCTACTTTAAGCTTTAAATCAATAAATCTTCAAAACTACTGAACTGAAGCTCATGTATTTTACTTCATTATAAAGGGAATTGAAAGACCTTTAAAATAAGGTATCACTCGATCCCCCTTTCCATTTAAGATTTTAGGGTTGGTGTCACCCCGTCCAGGGGCTGCACGTGTTAACGTGATTTTTCGCCAAACTTGTGTCCCCCTCGAAAACAAAATCGACGGGTCTGAGCGTGTTTCCAAAAAATAAAACTGAGCTGCCAGTAAATGCGTCTGTTTCGTTTTCGATGCGCCACCCTGTATATCATACTTTCTTTTATAACCTCTGTGTTAAGATATTGCAATAGATACGAGTATATAACGAATATGTACAGATAACGGTCAACGTAACGAACAAAGGACTTACCGACATAACGTCTCGTAATCCAGCCCTTTGTTGGACCTTGTATCAATCAATACAAGATCGTGGAACTTGGCTTGATACTCTTCTAAAGCGTTGACATCGGTGTTGACTGCCGTCACTTCAAATCCCAACTTCTCTGCGGCTTTCGTGAAGACTTCACCGACGTGGTCGAAATTGGCAAATACTGATAAAAACTGCAAACAAAAACAAAACAAAAATTAATTTTCTATTTAAAACAGCCAAAACGTGATCTAACCAAGACACAATTTGCTATAAAACTGATATACAGGGTGTTCCAACGAATATAATAACAACAATATTCATTCACTCAATGTACAAAGAAAACAACATGAATAAATAGATATTAAATGAAAACATGCCCAAATGCCTGTAACCAATAATTCCAAGATGTAATTGTAGAAAAAAATTATAAAAAAGGGCAAGGATTAGTCACAGTGAATTATGCATGTACTTGATGTTCGTATTTATGAGTTTATGAATTTCAGTCCTAGATATAACGTAGAAGGTAGCCACTTTTTAAAATTTCTCTTGAAACAACTTCCGAAAAGTATATCACTTACATCTTTAGGTAAAATAGCCTTATTGAAAAACTATACAAAATATTGGATAACGGTTTTCGTATCCATATTGATATCTTGTAGGGGTATATTTCTGAGTTATTTGGAAATATACAGGAGGTTGCATAATTTTGTGGCACAGCAAACATATGACTTCCAAATGGAACACGTTGCATATTTTTACACCGTCAAATTTTCCTTTTTATAAGCTGTCTTTTTGTATACGGTTAAGACGTTATCTGGTTATTTCTAAAACTCCTAGAAAATCTTTTAGTGATTTAGCCAGCACATTGTATTATCCATGGAACCAATAACTTCTTCTAAAAGTTCTATGCTTAAACAAGAACTACTACGTTCCATAAATATCTAAAGCCCTTTTTCATACCATTATTTACTTTTCCCTTGTTTATCGACAGTTGCTCCTAATCAGTCAGCAATGTTCCATATTAAATAATCGTAACCATATATATATATATATATATATATATATATATATATATATATATAGGTGAAAAATTAAAGCTTCCACCTTTTGTTGGGTACTTCGACAAAATTTAAGCACTGCTAACCCTCGGCCATCTGTCAAAAGGTTCATCTTACTCATTATTTCATGCCCACCATTTTGTGCAATCATCAGTGGCTTCACGATGTAATGCATAACTTTCGTTTTAAATATTTTTTAATCTGTTTTTAACTTGTTCTTGTCATACAGCTGTGTGTAGTTGTATAATTTTGACCATTGTACCATTTATCCAGCTTTCACGATGATACTGGGTGTTTCTCTCATCCTTAAACAACAATTAGCAACATCCTCACATACTACTGTAAGTTAATTTAAATTCATTTTATACTATTGCTGCTACTGTTATCAATGTAATTGCAGCTCCTGATGATGATGGCAAAGACCATTGAAAGCTAGAGAGAATAAAAAAAGTAGAAAGAGTTCTCCTTGCTTAAATTTTGTCGAAGTACCCAACAAAAGGCGGAAGCTTTAATTTTTCACCTAACTGGTCTAGACGACAATGACCACGTCTCAAGTTATATATATATATATATATATATATATATATATATATATATATATATATTGTATGTCTGCTAAGATGCTTCTTACTATTTCCACCAACAAATTTCATTCCACTCAAAATCTAATAATTCTCTTCTCACGATTTATTAATAATTATTAATTTAAAATTCCCATTAATTAAAATATAGTTTATTCAACTGCCTCTGGTCGGTTTAACAATTTCTTACATAACATTCTGAAAATCACATCATCTGAAGTGATTTGGCAACGTTTTGGCACACGCCCACTATTCGTTCCATCTTTCAACACAGACATTGACAACCTTCGGCCTTCTGTCAAAGGTTCATCTCACTCATCATTCTATGACCACCATTTTGTGCAATCTTCAAGTGGCTTCACGACGTAATGCTCTAATGTTTTCTAAATAATTTTTAATCTGTCTTTAACTTGTCTTGTCATATTTTATATAATTTTAACCATTGTACCATGTATCCAGCTCTCACCATGTTACTGGACGTTTCCCTCATCCTATACGAAAACAACAATTAGCAACATCCTCACATACTACTGTAAGTTAATTCAATTTAAATTTATTTTACACTTTTGTTGCTACTGTAATCATTGTAATTGCAGCTCCTGATGATGATGGCAAAGTCCATTGAAAGCTAGAGAGAATTAAAAAAAGTATAAAGAGTCTTCTTCGCTTAAATTTTGTCGAAGTACCCAACAAAAGGCGGAACTTGTCTTGTCATATTTTATATAATTTTAACCATTGGACCATGTATCCAGCTCTCACCATGTTACTGGACGTTTCCCTCATCCTATACGAAAACAACAATTAGCAACATCCTCACATACTACTGTAAGTTAATTCAATTTAAATTCATTTTACACTTTTGTTGCTACTGTTATCATTGTAATTGCAGCTCCTGATGATGATGACAAAGTCCATTGAAAGCTAGAGAGAATTAAAAAAAGTATAAAGAGTCCTCTTTGCTTAAATTTTGTCGAAGTACCCAACAAAAGGCGGAAGCTTTAATTTTTCACCTATATATATATATATATATATATTGTATGTCTGCAAAGATGCTTCTTACTATTTCGGGAGTTTTACAAGGTGACCGACATTATTGGTCGGTTTTTCAGTTAATTGCACATTGAAATAACTTATTTTGGTGATTAAGTGACGAAATCCTTATGTCAGGTTGATAAAAGCATTTAGATCTTTTACTTCAACTACCTTTATTTGGTTTCCGGGTATAATTATTTGTTTGTTGTCCCAGAGGAAGTGAGTACGTTTTTGTTGAGCGAAACCAAGAAAGAAACTAGATCATTGTTCTATGACTTAATTGTTCATCTACGAAACAGATATAACGTGGTGGCTAAAAGTAATCCGATTTGCTAACATTCTTAGAAATAATCGGAAAATCGTTTAAATAAACGAGTATAAATCTTATATCAAATTAAATCTTATGAAAAGGCCAATCTCATGGTATCAAGGAGGCCATAAAGGCATCCTACAATATCTTTCCAGATATGTGATAAAATATAGTGTTCGTGTGCCACAGAATTTTTAATTTAGAAATAGCAACCACCACAGATAACAATAATAATAAAACGTTTTCATTGGGCGAAGTATAGCATAAGCTATTCTACCACTTAATGAACCCGTGAAATGTCAATACAAAAAATAAACTTTAAAAACATTATGTACCACTAGAATCGCAGAACTTTCAACATACATACGTATGTGAGAGACGTTTTTGTTAATGGTTGTTCAAAAATGAATTCTTTTAAATACTTTTCGAAACTCTCGAAATTCAAGGCTTTAGTATTAGAAGGTGAAGAACTGTGCATGATAGTAGCATTATAAAAATGGCGGAATTGAGATAACTAAAAGCTTATGAATATAACACAGAAAATGAAATTTAAATAGATTAGGAATTTTAAACCATTCCAATTTCATGAACGAGAATATTATTTGAATTTTTGTGCTAAGCGCTTGACTAACTGAATCTAATTATGCAAGACAAACAATGTGTAGGTATGTAATTTTTGAAATAACCAATTATCAGGCTCTCTTAAAGCCTATCTTCCATGGAATAACCTTAAAAATTGGTGGAAGTACAACTACTCAATTTATGGTGAATGTGCTGCCTTCCAAGCGTCACTTAAATTGATATACTGACCGTTGTGAGCGTATTTAATAATTAATACGTATTTGTGTATTGAAATTCTACGCTGCAGCCTACCTTCAAAGTGTGCTTGACTGGTGGTGAAATTTGTCCTAGCTTCACATCATGAGGTCCCTTCTGTAACAAAGAAAATAATTTACATCTCAGGAATTCACGGGGACTTGTTTAAGAATGTTTAAGGTTGCATGGGATGGTGATGAATAAATTAGCTCCCAAACAACGAAAAACTAAATCAAGATCACTTAGCAAGTTCATCTTATAACAACTTTTTGCAGATTCTTAATATTACCAAAAAATGGAATATTGATGTCGTTGATGGTATCGCGGTATATTTTGATGGACTGATGCGGAGGCTACGTTAATACGATCTAGGCTAATTTTATACGATGCTTCATATAAGTTAGATTCATTAAAATTAAATTTTAGATTTGTATATTCAGTATACATTTCAATGTATCAATGTTCTACAAACTTATGCAGATCAAACGTGTATACTAGGAATAAAAGAGGTCTCAGTACTGAACCCTGTGGAACTCCTGATGGAACATGGTATGCATCAGAAGTTTCTCTAGATTCTAGGTGTTTTCACTTTTTGGGTGCGGTCAGTTAGGTAGGTTCTGAAGAAATTCAAAGGAATCTCAGACATGCCATAATACTTTATCTTAATCAAAAGAATCTCAAGATTGACCGTAACGAAAGACTTGGAAAAATCAAGCATCACCAACAGCGTGTGTGATTTGTCGACAAGATTGTGAAGTACCTCATCTGCAAGGTGTATGTAGTAATGCAGATTGGTGTACTGGAAACAAGTTATTATTGGAAAAATACTCAACGAGCTGTTGGTATACTATCTTCTCCAAGACATTCGACTAAAAACATAAGCCACTTATAGGGTTAAGGTCGGCATGTTTAGATGCTTTATTATTTTTTGCCAAGTGTGACTATCGACCTCCTTCCCGTTGGATGGGAAAAACAAAGATTATTTCTATAAGAAATGAAAGCTAGTAAGTAACCTTTCCTTGGGTATGCTCAAATAAATTTTCTTTCTCCTTCTAACCTTCTTTCTCGCCACTTTTGGATACATCTCCATTATTTCGTCCTTGCCTTTGAATTGCATGTAATTGGAGTACGTTATGTTCGTCATCTCAGTGCCGTATAAGCTCTACGTGTAAATAACTTGTAAATAGCAAAAACTAAAATGTATATGAGCCACTTGTCGTGGTAGATATAAGTTTGACAGAGTGTCAAGAAACAGACAGTTAGGTTGTAGGAGTAAGTACGACAAAAAGTGCACTAAACTTCATAAGGACTTCGGTCAAATAGTTACTTCACACGATCAGGATGGTAGAGTACCTTTTCCAGAACAATTATTTCACTTTTAATAACAAAGTGTTTTCACAAACACATGGTTGCCCCATGGGCTCTGTATTATCTCCAATTTTGGCGGAATATGTAATGGATGACCTGCATCCAGAGAGATGTGCTTTGGCATCACATATTAACACAACAGGTCACTCTATGAATGATGGCAGTATTTAGGTTCTTGACAAAGAAAAAAGACTCTCAAAACGTTTATTTTTAGAAATGTCCCACATGTTCATGACAGATCATTGCATGAATGAAAAGGCTGATGTTAAGCAGCTTAGTGTCATTTATTCCTACCTGTTGAATTGCGAAAAGTTAGAACGGCTACATATCCAAATCAATCTAACGTCGTCCCAAAATTAAAATACATTTCCAATTGCTTATCCTGTTAATTGAAACTTTTTTAAACGAAAGTTAAAATTACATCTTGAACCACCTGATGCTGCACAAAATGGTGGGCACATCAGATTTATCAAGAAATGTTAAATAAGAACCTGTCATATATATATATATATATATATATATATATATATATATATATATATATATATATTTAAATAACACTGAATTAAATTACGTTACTTTAACATATAAATTAATGAATTATACTAAACTAAGGAAAGGTTAATAATAATCAAGCATTGCCATGGACAGCGATTGCAGCATTTAGTAGACAACTTGACAGTCGTCAACTTAGTATTTAAACGCTATTGATTTATGATTTTTTCGAAGTGTTTTTAGTGGTTATTTTTTGTCCAATATGGTTCACGTTACTAATAGTGAAATGGCAGGCCATGTCTATGTGAAGCTTTTGTCTTAAAATTACACAAAGAATCGTCTATTAAATTTATAGTACAAATGTAATCAACACCCTGTATAGTTATGTTGTAAGTGTTCCAAAAAAGTTATTGGGGATGAAAATACCTTCAAAACAAATCCTTACACGACCAATTTGCCCTAGAGCTTAATTTGTTATTACAATAAAATGTCAGAAGTCGTCGAATTTATTTTTTATTGAAAATGGATAAACGTGAATCTAAAATAATAGTCAAAGGTGAAGCCTTTGTGGTGCTCAATATCTAGAAAACAAATTATTCGAATTGTTACTAATTTTTTTCAGAAAAATGACCACATAGGTGGGCTTTTGCTCTTGCTACTACACTTAGTTTGATACCTTATTAAAAGACATATTAGATTTTTCTATACTAATCATGTAAAAAAAGCGTCGCCAAAAGTATGTCTTCTTTTGCCTTATAGCCAGTTAGAATAAGTTCGTTGTTTTTTGACAGTCGTAATCACGACGTTCAGCACTGAAAAGCTGATCAAAGATACACACTTCCGTCTGCCGAATTTGAGATCATTCTGAATCTCGTTTTTCATGCAGATCCTATCATTTAGTGAAAATGCAAAACTTTGTGACATATCATATAGTTGAAAATGATTTTTTCAAAATTATGTAGTGGCTTAATGACAGAAAATTGAGCATTGATTAATCTAAAAAACATTTTTCTACCATCTTCTTCCTATTCCATTTTCCAAATTACACAAATGTCCCATTTATCATAAATAATCAGAAATTAGAAATTAACAGAGCATCTTGGAATATTCCTGGACCCACACTTGCGTTGTGATGTTCATATTTCATATATTTTAAAAAAAGTTAGCTATGTATCGTATAAAATTAAATATATCAAAAACATTTGAACGTTATACCATACCTTGATCGAGCCGCATTTAACCTGCGGTATATTAGCAATTGAATTTCACAATTAACTTTTTAATGTAAATAAAATACTTCTATCAAGCTCTAACTTGTCTTTCTAGAGACACTTTCCAGTACATCTACTTTGTTACGACTTATTTCATTTTAAAATGAAAGCGACGGGCGATATGTACATATTTTAGAGCTTTAATCATCTTAAAAAAATCTAAAAAATTACTCTCAAATCCAAATTCAAATTTTTTTAATAAAAATTATTTTTAAATAAATTTATTGTAACCCATTTCTTCTTTATTATAAACTACACCTTGATCTGATTTACTTTTTAATAAAAAATTTTAAATATTTCCAATTCTATTAAAATATTTAAACTACGACGATATATAAACTAATAAATAAAGTGCATCTAATCGTGGACTATCAATTATAGAACAGGTTCCTCTGAAAAAACTAAAATACCGCCAAATTGTTTAATTTTCAAGAACATAACTAATACTAATTAAGTAAAAAAAATTTACATTTTTAATAATAGGGTATCTAATCCTAGTTTAAACTAAAATTTTTAAGCTTCATTTTACTATTCAAATTTTATCTAAAATTTAAAATTTCACCTAATAAATCTTATTACAAAATTATTTTTAAAAAACTAACTTTTACTAAAAAAATTAATTTATATTATTTGTGTAACCGCAACTGCTGGCAATTTTGTTAATATTTAACTCTATTCCTAAATCTAAATTTCTTTAGATGGTCAACTCATGTTCATGAATATTTTTCAAAAAATGATTTTAAAAACAATCTTTAATAAACCAAAATTGTATCCAACTGAATGAGACGCATTCGCACAACTTTTTACGCTACTTAAAGTTTAGAATATGGCAATTAGAATATAACTCGACTTCATAATACTATTCACATGTATGTTAAATCGAAAATTTGAATCAAATACAAAATCCTAAATTCTTAGCATATCCAAAAAATGGAATATTGGTATCGTTGATAAATAAGGAGAATCGATTTGTGATATTGTAGTTTGAATATTTAGGACACTATGGTATCGCGATACTTTTCGATGGATTGATGCGGAGACAGTGCCTATTACAATACGTTAGTACGTTATCAAGATCTAGGTTGATTTTAAACGATGCTTCATGTAAGTTGGATTCATTAAAACGAAATGTTAGCTGTTAGCTGATCATCAGCATACATTTGAAATTACTATTGAAAAAATATACAACGAACTGTTGGTAGACCGTCTTTTCCCAAACTTTCAACAAGAAACATAAGCCACTTATAGGCCTAAGATCGGCATATTCAGATGTATTATTATTTTTGGCCAAAGGTGAGACTATTGCCTATTTCAACTTGGATGGGAAAAATAAACATTATTTCGACAAAAAATGGAAGCTGGTGAGTAACCTTTCCTTGGGAATGTTGAAATGAATTTGTTTTCTCCTTCTAACCTTCTTTCTCTCCACTTTTGGATACCTCTCGATCATTTCGTCTTTGCCTTTGCATTGCATGTAATTGGAGTACGTTATGCTCGCCATCTCACTGCCGTATAAACTTTACGTGTAAAAAACTAAAATGTATATGAGCCACTTGTCGTGGTAGATATAAATTCCTATTACAGACATCTTCCAAATTACACAAATATCTCATTTATCGTAAATAATTAGAAATTAGAAATTAACAGAGCATCAGATATAACCACAGCCGACGTCAACTACGAGCCGTGAACAAAGAAATCTGGCAACGTAGGTGGTAGTGTTACTCCCGACTCGTGCTCAAAACGCTGAGAAAACATAACCTTTTCAATTTGTGATTTGGCAATCCCAGAGGCTGTAATTAAGAGATAAGCTTGTTTTCTAAGCTTCAAAGTGTGTGTATGTGTTCAAAGTGATCGGTGACTATAATATATGAGAAATAGACTCCAGTTGTAGTGCTTCTGTGCTTTAAAAATAAACTAAGAAGTGTGACTGTGGCTGTTCGCGCCTCAGGACGCTAAGGATTTCAACTACCTATTGAAAACGTGCAAATTCAGGTTGTATTTTTCTTTTTTCATTTATCAAATATTTGACGCAGACAATATGCCTCGTTGTTGCTGTGTTCCTTTATGCAATGCAAACTATAATTCTGCTTTGAAAACAGAAAGCTATGTTTCAACTTTTCGCTTCCCAAGTACCGAAAGTCTGAAAAACAAATGGCTTATGGCAATTCCCAGAAAAAATTGGACACCTTCAAAATATTCAGCTGTGTGCAGTCGTCATTTTAGAGAATCGGATATCATCAGGACAGAAAATATAGTTTTGGCGGATGGAACAGTCCAAAATAATATACCTTTGAAATATCCAAAATTGAAAGCAAATGCTGTTCCCTCCATTTTCCCAAACTTGCCATCATATTTTTCAAAAACTGAAGCACCCAAAAGAACTGACCCAATGCAAAGAAAACAAAAATTAATTGAGAAACATGAAAAAGCTATCCGGAATTTCGATGATATGGATAAGATCAAAGACGTTCAAGAATTACATTCTTCATTTTCAAAAATTATAGCCTCACAGAAATGGAATAATAAATGATCTGATGGAAAGCTATATTTTTATAAATTGGATTTTGAAAATGATATCTTAACTTTGAATACACAGATTATAGTTGATGGTCAGATGGAAGTTCAGGTTGTTCATAAAGGATGTAAGCTTTCTTTTAGTGACTTGAAGTGGGTTTTGCCATATGATCTCAAAATTACCAGATGGTCTCAATTAGAAAACCTGCTAAATAGGTATTTTTTCTATTTTTCTGAGAACCAACACAAAAACTCTGTTGAAGTTTGCATCATGAATGCATTGGAACAACTTGACACAGCCATTTCCATAATTAATAATGACTCAGTTATGTTTCCATATACAAAAAATCTAGAGATTATTGCTGATCAGCTGAGACAAATTCAAAACAGGAAAAACAGATATGCATCACTTTCAATAATAATGGCTTTTACGTTTTATAACCACTCATCATCGACATATAATTTAATTAAAAGATTTTTTATTTTGCCAAGTAAGCGATACTTACAACATATCTCCTCAAGTATGGATATATCTCCAAAAAATGATAGGAATAATGAACACTACCTTTCGAATATTGCAATTAAATTAGCTCCAAGAGAAAAAATTGTAATTTTGATGATCGATGAAATTTATATAACATCTAGGCTGGACTATCGCTCACAAAACATTGTTGGGTATGCCTCAAATAAAAATGACATGGCTAAAACTGTTTTAGCCTTCATGCTATCTTCAGCATTTGGAAACATAACAGAAATTATCAAATTACTACCAGTTTCAAATCTAACAGGTGATGAAATGACACCTTTGGTTGAACATGTGATAAATTTAGTTCAAAAATGTGGATTTGAAGTTATTTGTGTTGTTACTGATAATCACCGAATTAATAGAGCAATGTTCAGGAAATTAGCAAAGGATTCATCAGAAAATTATTCTATTCCAAATCCACATAATCCTGATAAGAACATATATTTAACTTATGATGTTGTGCATATTTTCAAGAGTATCAGAAATAATTGGATTAATTTAAAAAACCTAGACAAAAATTTTGTATATCCTAATTTTGACAATAATGATATTATTCAGTATGCTAAATTTGCAAACATTCGTGCTGTATATCAATTGGAAAAAGAAGCTGTAGTTAAGAAAGCATATAAATTAAATTATAAAACATTGCATTCAAATTCATTTGAAAGGCAAAATGTAAATTTTGTAGATAATTTATTCCATCACTCAACAATAGCTGCTATGAAAGAATTAAAGTTTAATGATGCTGCACACTTTTTGGAAATAATCAGGAATTGGTGGGATATTGTCAGTAATACAAGTGTAATAAAAGGAGAATTGAAGCGAAACGAATTTTGTACGCCTATTACCAATAAATATGATTATAGAGTACAATTTTTAAAAAAATTCCTGATATGGTTAGAAAAAAGGCATAATCTAGAGAATAATAATGGACACCTGACACCAGAAACGTATACAGCTCTATATCAAAGCACGCTGACTCTACTTAATATAATTGAATATTCATTTAATCAATTTGACATTGAGTATGTATTGCCTGGAAAATTCACCACTGATAATTTAGAAAAACGATTTGGCAATTATAGACTTGTGTGGCTGCAATTACAATGTGTAATATGATGAAATTTTAAATGCTGAAAAGAAAATACGGCTGAAGCATATTTTCAATGAAAAGAAATCGTCATTGTCTTTAGCAGAAATTAAAACAAGGTTCCAAAACTGCTTAGAAACTCACGAAAATTTTGATTTCTTGGATACCAAACAAAATCCTGTAGTTTTGGATATATTCAATGAAGTATTTGAGGCAAATTACTTAGCCAATTGTGACATAGAGGATAGTACTAAGACTTATATATCTGGATATGCTTCACACGCTATCTCTAAAAACCTAAACTGCGAGATATGCAAATCGCTAATAGTTAAAGAAAAAGGTTCATTAACAACAAATGTTTATTTTGATCATTTGCAAAGAGGAGGACTGTCAATTCCAACCAGTTATGTACCAATCATATTCTACCATATGTATGCCATTTTTGAATCTATTATTAATGTAGATAGATTGGAAATTTTCTTCGTGAAAAGCAATAATCAAAAATTTATTTTGTGTCAGTTAACCTTGCACAGCATTCAGTCTGACTTTATATACAGTGAATTTTCTTTAACTTGCATCTGTGGCCGCAATTATGCAGATATTTTATCTAAGCTTTTGTCTATTTTTTCAAACATAATTTTGAATGATTATGTAAAATTGAAAAATAACAGTAAAACTGAAAGTAAATGTATTAAAAACAAACAGGTAAATCCACATTTCCAAGCTGGGCCTGTTGGAACACAGTGTGCTGACACTAAAAAACGTAAACTAAATACTTTTAATTAGGTTAACTGCATTAGCGACTCATATATATCACGATTATTTCGTATTTTTAAATTTTTTAGAGCTGTTTCATATTCAGACGATTTGTATCGAATCGAACTGTCCTCTTTTCCAAAATTAAATTTAGTTCTTGAAACGTTACACGAAGACGGAGCACACAGCCGCAGGCGGCCGACGTTCACAGGTAGCACTACCATGCCGTCCGAGCGCGGTGTTGCCTTTCTTTCATCACGGCTCGTAGTTGACGTCGGCTGTGATATAACATTTCTTGGAATATTCCTGCATCCACTTGGGACGTTCACATTTCATGCATTTTAAAAAAAGTAGCTACGTGTCGTATAAAATTAAATATCTGAAAAACATTTTAAAAGAAAAATATCTCTGTACCTTATACCATACCTTGGTCGAGCCGCATTTAATCTACGGTATTCTAGCATGATGACCAAATGATTTCAAAAACAATGTTTAACAAACCAAAATTGTATCCAACTGATGTCTTATACAAATGTACACATGTATATGACTTAAAACAGCTTTATCTCTCACATGCTCTAATCAACTATCACAAATTTGTCAATCACGACAAAAAAATTAAACATAATCACCACAGAAGGCAACTAAGAGGAATAGTTCTACGAGTACCTAGACCCAATAAATCTATAACGCAACGATCATACCTTTATTTAGGTCTCTATGGGCCGTTACTTCATATTTATTTACTCATTACACTGGACAACAAATTTTAGTTTTTTAATTGTATCTTGTGGGAAAAGTGCACTTCTTTGTTAATTTTGGGGCGCTGAATCCAAAAATGACAATGAAATAAAAAAATTAGTTGCGGTTTATAAAAAAAACTTTTTATTTTTAAGGATATATCAAAAAAAGTAACAAGATTCATATACTTATAAGAATCACTATATGCGCTGTCTTTTTGCTGTTCTTTTATGAATCGTTTCTGGAGGATCTCTACCAACAGTCCAACAGTAGTCTGCAACCATGGAAAGATTCCACTTTCCCTGGTATCTTTTTTCCATTGTTGAAATATCCTGATGAAAACGTTCGCCGTGCTCATCACTTACGGCTCCGCAATTGTCAGGAAAAAAGTCCAGGTGTGAGTGTAGGAAATGTATCTTAAGAGACATATTACAGTCCATCTTTTGATACGATGACAGCATATTTTTGACAAGGGTTTTATAGTTGTCAGCTTTTCTATTTCCCAAGAAATTAGTGACCACCAGACGGAAATCATTCCAAGCAGTTTTTTCAATACCTGTTAAAGTGTTTTCAAACTGTGTATCTTTCAAAATATTTCGAATCTGTGGCCCAACAAAAATACCTTCTTTAACCTTTGCCTCACTTAGTCGTGGAAATTTCTGACGCAGGTATTGAAAAGCTGACCCATCTCTATCTAATGCATTGACAAAGTTTTTCATTAGGCCCAACTTGATATGCAGTGGTGGTAATAAATTTTTTTTCGAATCTACTAATGGCATATGCTGTACATTTTTTTGACCTGGCTCTAGGAATTGACGAACAGGCCAGTTTTGTCTGGTGTAAT